GTGTGTGTGTGTGTGTGTGTGTGTGTGGTGGGTCGGGAGGGTTGCAGGGGCAGGTGTGTGTGTGGGGGATGGTCCAGGGCTCTGCAACTCTGCAAGGAGCATGGGTTAGGGGCATGGTTGTGAGTGGGATGAGGGTGCAGGTGATTGTGAAGGGACTGCCAGGTTAGATACAGCAGATGTTGGAGGGAGGGTTTTTTAGGGGCTGGAGCCAACTTCCTGAATGTTCCCTTCCTCCTATCAGTATATAGGGGCCTGGAGGGCCCAAGACAAATCCCACCATCTCCCGGTCTCCCCACCTGCTTGCAACTCTGCCCACAGCTCTCCGACCCCCGACTCCACCAGGAACGTGCGGCTGTGGCGGGACCTTCGCAGCTGCTCGCGGGCTGGGGGTGCAGGGGGAGCAGGACAGTGAGGTTAGAAGGAGGTGTCTCAGCTACCACGCTCAATCCTCATCCTCCCGCCAGGGCCCTCTATGAGCACGCGGAGCAGCCGGCGCTCCTGAAACTCCTGCTCCACTCCTGAGTGGGAGAAGGTGGCTGACCCCTAAGGGTCTGGAGGAACCTGATGGGATGATCTCCTGCTCGGTAACCAACAGCCGAGGGGAAGCACTTCTGGCCGCAGGGCCAGGGCTCAGGCTGTGGAAAATCGGGGCTGGGAGGGGGGGAAGGACCCAGGGGTTGTTTAGGGGAAAGCGCCTGAAGACCTCCCTTGGCTCAGAGGGGGGCTGACGTCCTCCTTGGTCAGTACCCAAGCACCCCTCCCCAGCGTAGGCTATCTCCCCAGAACCCAAACTCAGAGCTAGGCTGAGTCCTCCCTCCTCGGACAGTCCTCCCCTAGGGCAAGGTGAAACCTCTGCCCTGGGGTTGGGCTCCCCCGGGTCAGGGCTGTGCCTCCTCATTCCACCGGAACTCCAGGTAGGATATTTCTGCCCTCTCGTGGGCTGCTTCAGAGGAGGGGGGCCTCTCCTCCTGCTGGACAAAGCTGAGTCTCTGGTCTCAGGGGCCCTGGAGATGGCTCACCTTGTCGGAAGCTGGAGTCGATGGAGCGGCGCTCGCCCAGGCGCCCGCTGCCTGGGGCCCGGCAGCTCAGGTCTAGGAGCTGGTGCAGACGCAGCTTGCGGCAGTAGACCGAGGCGGCCTCAGGCTCCAGGGCGATGAGCAGTTGCTCTGCAGTCTCTCTGGACACCAGGCCCGCCTGGGGATAGGTTGTGGGCAGGGACAGGAGCACCGTGGGCTGTCACACCTAAGATGGAGCCCAGGGAAGGCACCCAGGGCCTGTGGGGGCTCCCATCTCCTCCCCATCACACCCCACCGATGCTAGCCCTTCAGGCCCCGGCATGCTGCACAAATTTGGAGCTGCCCCACAGTTGCCCTGTGAAGAACACCAGGGGGTTGCCCAGCAGGGAGAGACCCTAGACAGAGTGGAAACCTAGAGCACCTTGGGATCTGGCCCTCTGAGCTGCCCAAAGGGCCTGGGCTGCAGCAAGGTCCCCTTCACAGGAGCAGGGCTGGCTGGCCAGCTGGGCACTGGCCGAGGGTGTTAGTGGAGACTCTAGCATAGTGTGTGTGTGTGTGGGGGGATGGGGGGTGTGGGGGAGGGAATAATGGGCAGACCATCAATCAAATGAGATGATGGGGACCCCTTTGGCTCACTGAGCCCTCCTTCTTCACCAGGCTGGTGTCACAGTGGCCACAGGCCTCCCCACTCCCAGGGGAACTTTGTTTCTGGGGAATCTCATGTAGGAGGAAGGAAACTCCTAGTGAGATTCCAGGCACCAAGACAGGCCAGTTGTGGGGAGAAAAACATTTGGGAGCTGTTACTTCCTGCATCAGGATGGGGGAGTCCCTGTGGAAAGTCTTTTATGATTTTGTGGGATTCCCTGGATTCTGACGAGATGGGGGGTAGGGAGGGGTAGGTATCCAGACTTCCTGTCAGGGCCAGCCCTTCCTGAGCTGGCAGCCAGGGAACGGTGTGGGAGGAAGCAGAATGGGTAAACTGGCAGCAGGAGGGGCACTATGGCTGGTGGGGGGTGTGTGTTGTTCTAGCTGGGCACATCCGCGCTTTCATTCTGGTCTTTGCAGGGGGATGCCCACTAGGCTTAGGGTTAGCTTCTTCCAGTGACAAGCATAGGCACCTGGGCACATGCCTGACCCATAGGGGCCCTGGTATCCTCCAAGGGGTCTACAGGCAGCCCCAAGACGCCTTTTGTAGGTCCTAGGGCGTCCTTCAGAGCCCCAGGGTCAGGACCAAGCAATGAGTCTTGCTCTGGAAGGCTGTTCCCTTTTCTCCCCCCATCTCTACTAGAGAGGCAGTGCCTGAGCTCCACCCATCTTTCTCCAGACCTTCGGGTATCTCTTATGGTAGGAAAACCAGCAAACACTGGCCCAGACCACCTCCCTTCAGAGGTTCCCGTGCTCAGGAACTCACAGTGGTTGGGGCTGTGGGGGGGGGCGGGTGTGGATTCCTGAAAATACTGACGCTGGATGAAGTGCATGTTCTTAGTACCCTGCCCAGCTACTGGGAGTGTGGCTGCTCTTGGCTCACAGCTGCCCCTTCTCTGGAGCTGCCCTCAGCCGAATGGGAACTGCCTCACTTGGAGAGGATCACCCTCTACCCAGTGACCAGTAACAAAAAGCTGGCCCCCTTGCCTCAATGTGGCCAACACGGGGGTACAGTTCTCCCTCCAGAGCTCTCCACGGGGTCAGGCTGAGGTCACACTCCACATCCCTGCTCAGCTTCCCTCACCCCCTGAGAGCCCTTCTTCAATAGACCAATGCACAATTCCCATCCTGGGCTTTGCTTTTAGAAAACCTGACCTAAGACACTGGCTAAGCTGGCCTGGGCAGTGCCTCTTGTCCCTCAGTCCTCTGTTCCTGCAGCCAACTCCCTCCTCTGTGGCAACAAACCACCAAAATGCCCAGCAGGTAAAGGCTGGAGGTCTTCCCACAATGCATCTCTGGTCCCAAGGGTGGTGGGTGAACGAGGGGATGTATGGGGCCATCCCTGGGGCCTTCCTGAGCAACACCCACCCCTCTGCCTGCGTGTCCTCACCAGGTAGGCAGCCTCCCGCATGAACTGCTTGGCGGGCTGTTTCCAGATGGCGGGCACCGTCAACACCCAGCGCACAGTGTCCTTCTCCGGCAGCGAGGGGCACTGCTCTCTCAGCTCCTGGAGCAGGAGGGGCAGTGAGATGAGCGGCTGGCTTGAGTGGGGTGTCCTCAGCCCTCTGTGGGAGCTGGAAGAACTAATCAAGCCTCAGGAAGGGCTTTCCAGCAGAGTTGGAAAAATCCCTAACGCTAACCCCTCCACAACACATATATGGCCCATGCAGGCTCTCCCAGACCAGAAGGCAGGGGAGTGGAGAAGATGACCTCTGACCTCTGACAGGGGCCAGGGATGGCTAAGGGGAAAGGGTGGGCCTGGGGATGGGGCTGCAGCTCACCTGAAGAGCGTGCTCCTTGAAGAAGCGCAGGGCATGGGCGAACACCTCCAGGGCAGGCATTTTCTTTCCATTTACCGCCTCCAGCTGGGTCTTCAAGGTGAGATCCTGGCAGGGACACAGGGCCACTCGGCAGAAGGCCGTAGTTCTGCCCCCACTTCCTGACGACCTCGCTCTTAAAACCACCCCGTTTCCTGGTGCTTACCTGCTTGGGCACCGTCCCACTCGCTCTATAATCTCACTTTAGTTCTGTCCCCAGCCCCTCTTTAGGCCCGCCTCTCCGCTAACCCTATCCTCACCCTCAGCCACGCCTTCATCCCTTCTTTACTTCCCAGCTCCGTCCCTGAGCCACCACACCCATCCACCCTTCACTAGGCCCGCCCCTTCCCCTCCTGACCCCGCTTCCCTGGCTGGAACTGGTCCTGGGCCAGAAGGTGACTCACAGTGGCGCTGTGGATCTTCATCTTGAACTTCTCGAAGTAGAGCCAGTCCCGAGCCTCCTCGGGGTCTAGATCGTGGTAGTAATCACGGGCAGTGTAGCCGAAGCTGTGAAAGGCACCCTCCGGGGTCAGCAGGAGGCAGGTGGGGGTCTTCTGGTGTGCCACGCCGGGGTCCCCGCCCTCCCATTTCCTGTAGAGACAGGGCTATCAGTGGGTT